CCAACATCTGTCTGCCAGATAATGTGCACAGCTGTATGTGGGTCATTATTTGTCTACAAACAGAGTATCACATGGTAGATGCTGTGTACTTGGGATGAATTGAAAGGCAATCTGTCAGAGACAGGAGGCAGGAAACAGAGGTAGACTTGCATCCCAGCTTGGCCTATATAATTATTTTTTTTTAGAGTGCCCATTTCTCACTGTGGAGTCTGAAATTTAGAAAACAGAACAGTGGAGTGGGAATTAGGGAAGCCAGCTCACTCACTTGCCAGAGTATTTGTTCTTTATCACATCTTGTTGCAACAAAATACTACAGCCATTGTGTATCTGTGCCCCGGATACCTGCCAGTATTGTAGCTTGCAGAGTGCAGGATGAACTAGGTCTTCTATGACCTTGGTAGACATCAAGTTCAATGACAGACAAGGAGATGATGCTGAACAGAAAACAGTAACCATTCAGTGTCATTGTCCTCCTGCCTTATTATTCAAGAGGCACTTAGTAGACAACTGGGACTTCCCACCTTGTTGGCTGTTGCTTTAACACTTTTTCCCTCCCAACTCATGGAGGGTCTCTTCCACCACCTTCCTTTGTCATCTTCTTCTCTCCCTGACCAGGGCTTTTGATCCTACATAAATACTTCAAAGGAAAAGAGTATAGTAATTATTAAAATTCACATAAAGTGAAGAAACGGAAAATAGATATTTGCAGATGGCAAGAGAAATAAGTGCAAATTTCTGGGTACCCTGCCCCAGGGAGAATGAAGTACATTGTCTAGCCTCAGCTGACAATAGGCAGTCACACATCCCAAAGAAACACTTAATTGAGTCCACTTGGCCGTCCCTGCTCAGCAGGAGTATTGTAATGAAAAAGCATGTAATAACACACCTTTCTTCTTGAAAGGCTTGCTTCTTAACTTGTGCAGGATGGGGATGCGGGCACATGGAAGACCAATATGTTGTGGCCACCTTGTACACCGGGGCCAAGGTGAGGTGAGGCTGGGACACGGGGAGGCTGTTGAACAGCCAGTTTCATGCTCAGACTATGAAAAGCCCCCTTCATTGCTCTAGGTAAGTGAGGAAGGAGAGGGCAAACAGGCTCCACAAAACGGAGAAGTTGTAGACACCTGGGGCCCTAAAACATCCCGTGGAGACAGTTAACTTTTGTACTGTTGTGTGTCTTGTAACCTTTCGTTTAAGAAAAATGCTCTGCGATCAGTGCACAGCTATTACAAGCTGTGATGAAACAGCTTTTCATATCATCCTAGAGAGTTATAGACTACTCTGTGGAGCAGGCGTTTTTGATGAGGTTGTCAAAAAGCTGCAGTTACACCAATCAAGCAAAAGAAAATGTACAGTAAATGGGTCATCCCTAAAGCAAATATTCAAAGGGGCTACCTTTGGAAGTATGGGATTCTGCCTTTCCCATCTGCCATGAACTGAAATTTGCCTTTAAGGAGCTGGAGCACGAACTACAATTAGCATTGGAAAAATGGTGGATATGAATGAAAGGACTTATTTTCCTCAAAAATCAGTTGTCTGTGGTTTATTTGGAAGAAACAAATGCTAGACACTGCAGCCTCTACACTCCTCTCCTGATGGGAAGGGGACTGTTGAGAAAACTTATCTTTGGCCAGTTATCAGTTGCTGTGAATTATGAAATTTGAGAAATTGGACACAGCTCTAGCTCTAGGTCTATTTCCCCTTTTCCACACCAAAATGGAATCTTAAGTGAAAAATTACAGCATCTCCACCCTGTAATGAAATGTGCAGAAGAAATGAAAAACGCATTACTTTTCCCCATGTGTATGTACTACATCATTACACCACTGAGAATGTTTCACTAATGATACAGAACATATGGGGGTCTTACATAATGAACTACAATGAGGTGCATTAAAAATATAGATGAGTTTAATTTGATATATTTATTTAATTGACTTCAAAATTTTTTTATCAGGCAGTTTCATAAGACTTCTATAGATGGCAGTCATTCCCATTGATGGAGTTCAGCCCCGGTTGTTATGATGTTTATACTAACATAAGCAGAAAGTGATCTAGTTACCCAAATGAAGACTGTCTAGCTAAGGTCCAAATTCTTATTTTAGTAGTTTGGGCTGTGAACTCATTTCATTCATATCTTCTTTTGAGTGTTGGCTCTAACTCTGGGCAAAGTTCTTCGGTTCAGTTTGTTTGCTATTTGTGATAAGCATTTGATGTTTCCCACAGGTTATTATCCTCTCTCTTCCTTCCCGTTAACAAAAAAACAAGTGTGGGGAGTTCTTCAAAGATTGTCATCCTAGGGCCACCGAGATACAAATGTATAACTTGGTAGAAACTGGTATCTACCAACTGGTATCTATATCAAAAACTTTCTAATATAGCATATAATTAGATTGCACATCGTTCAGGACATAGAAAGTGGTTTAACTTATAGTTAGTATTAGAGGGTCAAGGTATTGAATTTAGTTGACTTGGTTTTTCATTGGATCTGTATCTAAATTGTTTGGTCAGCTCTATTCAGAGTATAACTCCAGTCTTTAGTATTTTCAGAGAATGAAACTTTACCTTGAGGCTTCACAGAGAGAGGAAAAAAGCTTTTTTGTTTATGTGAATTTACTTCCTCTTAACAGTTCTGAGTTTCAAATAATGGCACCCACTTCCAGCAACAGGTTGCAACAATTCAGAACCCTTGTCTGAGCTTAGAGCTCAGACTAAAACTCAATTTTATGTTACAATAAATTTATATAACCCCTTTACATCTCAATTTATGGAAATAATTAGGGCAAATTAGATCACAGGAAAGTTTAATTAGCCAGGCATAGTTTTGAATTAAAGTTCATTTTCTGTGAAAATTAGAAAAGCCTGAGCACTCACTTCTCCACTATTGGATGATTTGGGCTCGTACATCAGCTTGGTCCTGGGTGCGTGAGGGCCAGGCTGTGCCTGGAGGGCAGTGTGCTCGCTGACCCAGAACTGGAGATAGTTGGGGAAAGCTGAGTTGTCCAGGAAGAAAATCACTATAAACTGAGACCCAACTATTTCCAGTGCATTAAGCTCCAGGTTACAACTTTCTGCTCTTGATTATGCATGTGATTTTCCCATTGCCCGAGGAATTCATTACTTGGGAAGCTACTATTAGATATTTTAAAAAAGTATCAGCATCTTTTTCCCATGTCCGTATATGCTGGAAGCCGCAGGATAATGTTTGTGTCTGAATATTTTATACAAAAGGGAGTAACTTTTCTGATTTTACATTTACTCTTGAGCTTTGATTTTTCTAATAATCACATTATAGTTTTTTTTATAAATGCAATATACATAGCATGTGACTCCATATTTACTTTGTAAATACATAGTTTGGCAACTCTTTTACTGATAATTAAGGCCTTTAATTAAAATTTATTTAGACATGGTGACTTAATCTGGGTTAACATGGGTGATTAAGGTCTACCTTTAAAGACTGGATCAAATTGCTACTCTTTCCAGGGGACTTCCTGACGCCTCAGTCCGTGAGTCTCCCGCCCTCCCACCACACCCCTCATCGTTTGCCTGTAGTAAGGCTACCGGTGCATTTGTCCCACCCTTCTGTAAGTCAGGGACTGTCATTCATCTGTGCATGTGCCACAGCACTTCGCTTAGGGTTTGGCCTGTGGTAGGTATTTAATTTTACTGATCACTAACGTCAGAAGTTGTTTATTGTTCAGAACCAATGGCTTTGAAACACATCTGTTACGGGGAAATGAAGCGACCAGACACCAAGGGATTCTGGAGTACGAGGTTTATTCCTTTACGTGCTCGGGCCCAGAGGAGTCAGTCTCCAAATTCTGAGCCCCGAACAAAGGATTCTTGGGGAATATATAGATTAGGGGTCTTCCTGTGTACGTGACAAACGTGGGGTACAGAAACAGAATGTGATAATCGTTCTATTAGTGGGGGTGCTAGTTCATCCTACTACACCGCTATCCGCTCTCCTGGGGGGGGGTGCTAGTCCCAGTCCTACTGACTATCCGCTCTCCAGACAGCCCCATCGCTCTCCTATTGCGCCTGGGGTCCTAGGCGAGCCAAAGTCTCCTGAGGCTTCTCCTTCAAAATGATAGAGGTTGTATTATAATTGTTTGCATTCTGTCTAACATGGGAAAACAAAGGCACAGAGAATTTTCTAAAGACCACATAGCAAAGCCTGGGTAGTACCAGGTCCGAGCTACGTCTCTATTTTTTGTGGTTTGAAGTTGAGCCCTAAGACCTGTCTGTGAGTCTCTTATCTGAAAGTGGTTTACGAGTTTCAGTGTCTTGAGCAGACTGTGAATCCCCCAAGTGTAGGAGACCATTCTGCATGGTGTGGGCTCAACCCCCAGTGGCAAACATTTATTGCAAAGTGACTTCCTAAAATCCATGCTAAACCTTCCAAGGACCAGTGTAACCGGTTCAACCACTTTTGCCTTTTCATTTGCAAATATCCCTCTTCTGTAATGTGATCAGAGGCATTGGCTCTTTTGTTCTCTGTAAAAGGTAACCATCTAAAGCAACCTGTGCATGGTAAATGAGGACCTTCCTGAGAATGTGCTGAGAAGCCCAACAAAGGCCGGTCACTGCAAGGGCCGAGGCTTTTGCCCACCTTGAGGGAAAAGCCATGCTGTCTCTTTTCCTCCACTGGACTCGGTAGTCTGTGAGAATGTCTCATTTCATCCATAATGATGCAGACACTGTGTGCCGGTGTCCGCATCACCCAAATATGTTTTGTTTGTCTCTAAAATGTTTTTAGATTTATATTTGAATATTATATCTGACATCATGGGAATTTGAGTAGTTTCAAATAAAATAGTTAAAGTTTTATTTAAAGCATATCAAATAGTGATCGAAGGGAACTTTAATTGAGTCAGTAAATACACAATACCATATACAGAAGATGTAATGTAGCATTGTGTACCTGAAACCTATATAATTTTATTAATTGATGTCACCCGAGAAAATTCAATAAGAAAATAAAATTACAAATGTTGATTGTTTCTCAGCCTTTTGGCTGAGATCAAGTGTAGTATCTATTCTTATCAGTTTAGTATCTGATATGTCCTCTATTCGAGGACAATGTATTAAATAGATTTTTGAAATTAGAAGATGGAATTAGGGGCTTGCTCCATCCACTCCACACATCAACCTGGTATTGCAGTACTTCCAGAATGGTAAACAACAACAAAAAAATGTTGAAGGGACATTGAGAAAATGTGACTTGAGTGAACTTCTCATCTACCAACAGGTTTACTAAACTCAACTTGCTGCCTATTTAATACAAGCAATTTATGGTCTAAGCAACCCCTTCTACTTTACCCAAATTGAGGAAGTGAATAAGAATTTTAACTAAAAGTACCATTGAACTGTACACTTACATGAGTAATATGAATATATGCTATATAAATCATATTTCAATAAAGGTGTTAGAAATAGGTACAATTTCTGGATTGCTGGAAGCGAGTAAACATAAGTGAGTAAACATAAATGGTTTAGAAAGTCACCCAGATTTAGCTAGTCAGAGTGAAATTTTAGACAGAAGATTTGAGAGCTGGAAGAGAATTTATAACTTGTAGTTGCAAAAACTAGAGGCCCAGAGAAGCTGAGTCATTTGGCCAACATCTTACAGTGAGTTAAAGGCAAAGGCAGCTTTTGAAGTCCATTTCCCTTAACAGATGAGCAAAACTTGCCACTCGAAATCCCCATGGGTTCACAGCATCCCCCTCTGTTTTCCAGGATCCATATGTCTTCTGCAGTTAGTGATGTCTGTAAGGTATAGTGCAGTCTTGTGCTTAAAACAGTCAAGTCACTTGGCACTTGCCTCAGAATCTAAAAGTACCTAAACAAAAAAGGCTGGAGTACCTAAATAGATATGTCTGTGGGAAAGGAGACAAATGCTTCTCTCCTTTTCTTGATTCCGTTTGATTAACCTTAACACACATATTCTTTGTTGCAAGCTTTTCAAGTCATTTTGAGGAAGGGGGTAGATGGAGATACAAAGTTTCAAAAACCAAAAATCTCAGTCACAGCATTGGTGTTACATTGTCTGCACTGCTGCAGTCTGAAATCAAAGGTTGCAGAACTTTAACATTATTAAAATGGGCTGAAGATGTAAAAACTTCCTGCCTGCTGAAAGCCTTTTTTGAATTAAAACTTTTTGAACTTTTATCTGTAAACTAAAATAGATCACTGCACTTGGAGCAAGTATCCATTTCATTGTACCATGTTGGGATTGAATTCTCTATAAAAAGAAACAACCTTTTTTCAACCTTTATTTATTTTTAGCTCTAGGTCTAATTTCACTTTAAGAAATATGTGCTTCATATTTGCAGCCAAATGAACTTCATATTTGCAATAAGAAAAATGTGTTTTATTATTTGAAACAATAACCCATGGTTTACTGAGAGACATAAAAGGAGACTGAAATTCATGGAGTGATACACCATGCTTCAAGAGGAAAAAGAATTTTCAAAGACTAAATTCTTCCTAATTTCTGTGTTTAATTCAACTTTATTGGAGATCCCAGCAGTCATTTTTTCTTAAATTTTACAGTTATTTTTCAGTTCATCTTAAAAATTAAAGTATAAGACTAGAGAGGAAAATAAAAATGACCGTGGTTGGGACAGAAATCAGAGGTAGAATTGTAAATTATATACAATTTCTAAATACATGATAAAAGTGGGAATAAAAAATATGTTAGTGGCATATGGATCAATGAAAATGGAAATGGGAAACAGTGGGGAAAAAGACCCTGGTGTATCCATTCTGGAATTTAAGTGAAATGAAAAAGATAAAAGAGGCTGCAGCCTTTGGAATTTTCTTTGGCTAGCGGGAGAATAAAACCTCTTCCAGACCCTTCCCAACCTCTTCTCTCCTGTTTACAGTAGTGTCGGCAGAAAATTAATCTAACATGAGGTTTAACCCACCAATATTGAAGCGATTATAAAGACAAACTGATTCCAAAGCTCTGCCTGTTCTTTGTAAAGCTATAGCCATAGGGCCAGGTTAGACACTCTTTTGGGTATAAACGCTGTTTTAGGAAGTGTTCTCTGAAATGGGGCTTTGAGTACTGAGTCCGAATAGTTGATTTGGGAGGTAATCCTAGGGAATATTGGCAGGGTTATAGCAAAATAAGATAGCCAGGAAAGTTTCTGTTTACCATTGTGGTCCATGGAGCTTGTTCATGCTGGTAATCTGCAAGCTGGTGTATAACATGCAGCTAGACTCATCCACTGCAAGCCACCAAGGTTAACAGAATTTGGGTATTTACACAATAAATTCTTTTGATTATTGTTCGAGGGGTATTGGCTTGGGAGAGAGGCAGGCACTAAGCTATGGGCAATCCCAAATTGCTGTTCCTGTGGATCAAACACATTTTTGTGGCCAAATAATGCCTCAGGTGTGACTGCAGGTGTTGGCAGTTAGAAATCAGACCAAGTTCTAGGGCAAGGAGATACAAATGAGGGGAGAATTCGCAGTATCTGATTAAAAAAAAAAAACAAAAACAGTATTCTGAGTCCCAGGACCTTCTCCATACACTGCAGAAACCTTTTTTTTTTTTGCATTTCAGTTGTGTTTTTACTTTTTTTGAAATAATAAAGCATAATATGCTGACAATGTGCATTTTCTTCCATCTTTGATATTAAAATGCCTACACAAAAATTCACCAATTTCGATGTTTGTTTTAAATGCATGTTGATATGACAGCTGTCACAATACAATCTAACAAAATTGTTTAGAAAGAACTTAAAAGCAACTAACTGCTGCTATATCAGGGTAGGTCAGACCAGAGGTCCCTGGAAAACAGAGACCCCAGGTCCAACAGAAATCCCCCCTGTTGTATTCAAGTTGCGAGCGAAAGGAATCCCCGAACACTGAGAGCGGTTTGATGGTAAATTTATTGGCCAAGTTTTACCTGCGCAGGGGCGAACTTCCCAAACGAGACCGTAGTCTCGCGGCTACGCAGAGCCGCCAAAGTGGAAGTCGCGCCTGGCTTACAGACTTCTGGGTTTTTATAGGGGTAGGCAAGCAAGCAAGCAAGGGGATACAGAAGCAGACGTGGCGGTTAGCTATTGGCTCAATCGAACGGCGCCTAAAAAATTTCCTAGCCTTATTCGGGCAGGCCTTACATCCTAACCTTATTTGGGCAGGCCTCTACATTCCTAGTCTTATTTGGGCAGGCCTTACATCCTAACCTTATTTGGGCAGACCTCTACATTCCTAGTCTTATTTGGGCAGGCCTTACATCCTAACCTTATTTGGGCAGGCCTCTACATTCCCTCCTTCTCTTTCTTATTAGTCAAACCCTTGACTCATGCTCTTCTCGAGGGAGGATTGTATAGGGCTGAGACAATACTATAAGTTTTACTGTTTCTATTCTATCTTTAATAAAGGCTATGAGCTTGTTTAGAATTATTGGGCCTATGGTCCGGGCTAATAGGAGGATGATCAAGGGTCCGGCTAGAGCCGATATTAACGTAGTTAGCCAAGGGGAAGTCTTCGATAGGGAAGAATACCAGGAGGACGACTCATTTTCTTGTTCTCTACTTTTAAGTCGTCTAGTGAGTATTTTTACACTTTCTCTAATTATTCTTGAGTGGTTAGCATAGAAACAATAATCTTCTCCAAGAGCCGCACATACTCCCCCTTGTTGTAGAAACACTAGGTCTAACTTTCTTCGGTTTTGAAGCGCCACTTTTGCCAGGGAGTCTACTTGGCGCTCCAAATATTCTACTTGCTCTTGTAGTAAGGAGACGTCTTTGGAGAAAGTCTGTGATAAGGCCCTGAGACTGCTTTCCCCATGGATCAACGCCCCTGTTCCTACAGCAGCCGACCCTATGACACCGATGGTGGCGACGATAGGAATTAGTAATGGGACTCGCTTGGCTCGAGTGGGGGCACGTATCAGAAAATCGGGGTCTCTCCCATATAAATACACTTGGGGAATAATGTAAGCACTTACACAAAGCTCAGGGTTAGTTGGTATTAGACACTTAAAGATACCTTGAGTGCAGACAAACCATAGTCCTTCTGGAGCTAATGTAATAGTCAAATTCTTGGGGTCTCCTGGCAAGTGCTCCTGGTTAAGGCAATAGTCACTATAGTTCGAGGCTGCAAGGGTATAATTCGCTAGCAAATAACAGGTGCCTCGCCCGTGGAATTCTGCTAATGTAAGGGTACTTTCAGATGTACACTGTTGGAAGTCTTCCATTTGGTCCTGGTCCGGGTTCTCGGGAAGGGGCTTTGTCTCAGGCACCCCTTCTCCTTTCCCGGTGGTGTTGACCCCTAAGCCTACATAGAATGGGGGTCTAGGGCTGAGGCATAACCAGCAGGACTCGGTTATGTTAGGCTGGGTAGTGTTGAAATATGGAAATACTTGCTCTAATAGACTTAATGCTGATTCCCCTTGGTGGTGAGGTTTCTCTATTAAGGGCTTAGGATCTCCGAGGGGAGGCCTTAAGCTATTCGTATCCTCGAATTGTGAATTTTCTATGGGCTCACTCTGGTTTCCGCTGGCCCCAATGGGTGTTTCTAGCGTTGTGGGGCCCTTACCTTTTCCCGGGCTGGTGGTAGGTTTAGGTGGGCGAGGTGGCAGCTTTCCCCCTCCCCTTCTTAATAACGGTCTTCCCTGAGCGGGCAGCCTCCTGACAGTAAAGAAGGTTCCTGGATCTGTTCCACTGATATAGAGCCTAAGTCCCCACGTACGGCCCTTTAACCATTCTGGGTTTCCTGGGTTCAGGACCGTTATTGAGGCAGGGTTATATTTGTCTGCTGCACAGTCTGTCTCCCATCCTTTTTCTGGTTAAGTTTATCCCGGGTGAGGAGAATATGTTTATCGATCCCTCCTCCGGGGGTCCACCCTCTATTCGTTAAGGTCTCACAGCCCCAACTTTTACAATAAAAATCATTGTGCGACCCACATGTATAACGTTGCCCCCGGGGAGGTTCTGGGCATCTATAATGGGGGGCACCTCTAAGCGCATAATTTGTGGGTGCACTTCCACATGGGTCATTCCATGGCGGCCTATACGCATAGCCTCCCCGGGTCTAAGAATTTAATGTTGGGATTGCGGCCGCCGAGGCACAGTATGGGTCATCAAAGAATTTGGAGAAGTCTGCACGTAGAGTCACTGGACCTGTATCCCAAGTATAATTGGTAGCAATGACTGTGCCATCTGCTGTCCT